AATGATATACAATAATGATCCGGTGATATTTATCTATTGAAAATAAAAGAGAAATAAAAACAACAACAACAACAAATTATAAGGATTTTGGATAGCACGATCTTTAAGGCGTTCAAGTTTACACATACATAATATTTGAATTTAATAATTGGATATCATATCGCATAAAAATAAAATTTATACTTCTATTAAGATGAAGGATTAAATCGAGTGGCATTATAAAAAGTATATAAACTCTAAATTATTAAACATTGTTTATCAAAGAGTTTATTATATTGCTTCCTATTTGAGTGATCATTTGTAAGAGTACACAAGTATCTTACTAAAGTATGTGTATATTTATCAAAATTAAATCGAATGCGCATCACGGCTAAATATGATTAAAATACATTGATATTATAAATTTTCTGTTTGTGAGCTTCCATAGAAAATTATAATCTTTATTATAAGCCCATTAAATTGGGGAATAGCTTTGGCGATTCATTTATAGGTTTATCATTAATACAAAAGGATATTAGAATGTTGACATCACAAGGGATAGCGCACATTACATACATTAGTAATTGTAAAAATGATAATATCCGATGGATCATTCAGTACAGACTGTGCAGCATTTTAAATAATGTCTTTGTATATGCTAAGATTATTCGTAACCTAATGTAACATAATTATCAACAATGTAGAATAGACCTTTTATACCTCACAACAAAATCATAGTTGCTAATGCTGCAATAGATACAAATTTATGAACGTTCAAAATCTAAGAGGCGTTCCCAGAAATATGTGATCAGAAAGAAACCTCTGTTATATCTAATATCTCTTGTTAAATATTATTTCGTAATATATTTTTCATGTAAAAATGCTATCGTATGATCTATTTGCACACTATTACTTTCTTTAGTCTTTTATATTAATAATCATTTTTTAATGTATTGCCTAACGGTATGTCGCAAGATTTGCAAATTATGATTGCAGAGTCTAGTAGCTTGTTGTCTCTCATGTGTATTATGTGTATTTATTTGTATTACGCGGTGCATTATATATTGTAATCGTTAATATAGTTGCTGTATATTAAATATACATTTTATACCTTTCTCTTCCAGACATCTTTTCTTGCTAATCACTATTATTATTTTAATTAATTGTAATTATTTGTTTTGTAAAACGCTAACGCGCTAGCTGCTGACATTTGTCGTCGCGGAAATACAATTTATTTGTTGAAGTATGTCCATTAATAATAAAAATATCATACCACTTGATATGAAATATCTGACAAGCATTGTGGATGACACTGACTGCATAGATAACTTGTGTTAGTCACGGCCACGGTCATGGTCACGGTCATGGTCACGGTCACGGTCAGGAATATCCTCCACTTGAATATTCTATAGTCGCCGCCTATTCTTAGACGAGTCAGTAAGCTGTTAAAATGTATGTCCGTTGCAAATATAGTGTACAATTTCAAATGTTCCGTTTCTCACAGAATCGTCTCGTTGATGCAGCGAAATTTACTGAACCATTGTGCACAATTTTTAAAAGAAATCTAAAAAATTAATAATGACCATGTGTAAAACACATAGAAAACAAAACAAAAGAATGTATTCATTTTATTTTGATAAGACACGTTTCGATAACAATTGATTAACCAAATGTTATTCAATGCTATAGAGACATTTATGCATGCAGGCGTAAGATCATTTAAATATCGCGCCACATACTCGTAATCGATTTCGATACGATATTTTCGATAATCGTTTCGTCATCGAACTATCGATTACAATCCATCGTTCGATGTTTTTCAATCATGGAGGAAGTCAATATATCATCACAAGCTCTCCACGTCTTTCGATCTCTGTTTGAAAATCATATATCTTGATAATTTTAATTGAAGATATGCTCTTATAAAAGTCATGCGTTTTTTCGCTAATAATATCACTTCATTTCATTGTGTACCAATCGATTAGACGTAACGACAGGTGACATTAAAGATTTGTAAAATTTTGGATTTTCTCTTTTTCTTTGAAAAAAAAAAAAAAACAAGAGAGAAAAAAATGGAGGGAAACGTAAAATCGAATGAACAAGTTCATAGAAAGATTCAAGTGTGCCTTCAAAATTTGGCGCTTCGCAAATTGAAAAGATGTACTACTTGTGTAAAAAACGATAGTCTAAATTCAAATGTAACTATCGATGCGCCAAATCGAGAAAATTCAAATTCAAAATCGTTTAGTCTCGAAAGTAATTTGAATGAATATAGCGCGAGTAAGGAAAGAGTAGATCTTTTTCAGGATTTTAGAGTTGAAGATTTAAAAATGAATATTCCAAGTCAATGTATAGGATCTCCTACAAAGAAGATTAAAAAATATGTTGGTCAAAAAGATAACGGTTACCTGAATGATACTAGAATGGATACGAATATGAAAATACTTTCTCGAAACGGTCGATTTTCCTTGCCAATTTTGAAAATCGAATCTTCGGAAGACAGTAGTGATATCATGAAGATATCGAAAGGGAAGGAAACGGTGAAGGAACAAAGTTTTTCTATAGACGGTAATCATTGAGAATGTAATTTTTTGTTCATAATCGTAAATTTCCTATAATTAAGAGAAAGGAAGATTTGAAACCTTTCGTAAAGATATTCAGGAAAAGGAAGATGAAGAAACCGGAGGTACGACGAAATTAATATCGCAAGATACGTCAAGGAGAAGCAATCCGATTATCATCGCCGAGGAACAATCGACGGATTCGCGCGATTATTTGAAAAGAGGTTAGACTATTTTTTAACTCTTTATTTTATTACCCCTTTCAGAGATCTGTCTCAAATTCATTGAATTAAAGTCAACAAAGTTTTTCTGTTGAAAAATGGATCTAGATTTTGTAGCTTTTAATTGCAAACAATGTAGAATAAAGCCATAACGAGATATCACACCAATAATGCGTTATCACTTTTATGGTCATTACTAATTGTAAATAAATGATATTTATGATCGTATTTTTTCTTTTTATGCATTCTTATGTTCCAATTGAAGAGAAAAATTCAAGTACAATATATCTTTCGAGTTATACATCATATCATGTAATGATGCTCGTTTGAAATAGGCTCGAACGTGAAACATTTAATGGAATATAAAAGAAGGATCGATAAATCGATCGACGAGTATATTGCTGAGCGAATAGGCGAAGAAAACTCTTTCGAAGGCTCCACGGGTGATTGGAAATTTTCCGAAGCGTGGCTTACCTCTGTAGAAAAGATTTGTGATATAATATTCTCGCGGTTAAGCTTTCAAATTGAACATAATGAGAAGAACAAAGAGATTCCTTCGTATGGAAAGAGACATTTCCATCGAAATCGGTATGCATATATGTTATATAGAGATCGAAGCAAAAAAGCTTAAACGAAATGAAATTCTCGTTTAAATTGAGTGTGTACTTATTTCTCAGAAAATGCTTGGCTAAACACGACGAGTATGCGAGTTCGTATCTGGCAACGTCTATCAACGAGAATATAAAAGACAATTCGTTTTATCAATTCATCCGTCATCGTTGCGGTTCGCATCAAAATACGGTTGATGATTTATCTTGCTCTCAATACGAGAAACTCTACGGACGGTGGGATATTCAGAAAAGTACACTACAGTTTGTTAACGATTGTTTTGCGATCTCGAAAGTATTCTTCAAGAAAATCCATTTAAAAGGGGAAAATCCATGAATCATATATGTACGTGTACATATGTTAAATATTGTATTTATTTTTCAGGAATACTGGAAAGTATTAGCACGCGATACGAGCACCACCGTTGTTGTTGCATTTGCAGAGCTCATGGAAACTCGAGCATTTCCTGTGGATACAAATGTATAATGACACCAAGTTCTCAAAGAGAGACTAACCTTTCATCTTCCTAGTAAAGAGGAGACAATGTAGACGACTAAATTCATTGTGTCCGTTTAGCTTTAGGAATGTACTTTTATAAACGTGATTCGTTTTATAATAGCATATCAATCCATCGCCGTTGCTCGTGATTAATGTAAATTGATAAAGATAGAGGAGTTCAAAGTAAGGGAAGCAAACGGAAACAATCAAGAATCGTGTCGAATAATCGCACGATCTGTTGTGCGGTCAGATAGAAAAAGGTAACTGTAAATAGTTTCAACTAAATCACGAACAAAATAAATTCGTGCAAATTTTTTTTTTCGAAAACGCACTGTTTCCTCCTTGAGTCGAGAGAAGGCGGTGCTCATTAGACACGCTCGAAAAGTTTAACTCGCTTCCCGCGAGCTAAATCAAATTAAATTACAAAGTTATTTAGCCCAATTAACGATCATTCCTTAATTGGACACGACATACCATATAAATAAATCCTTTATGTAAGTTCCAATCAATTTTATTATACTATTATTTTGTGAGCCTGTATCATTGAAAATTGGATATTATTTTTTAAGCGAAAAATATGATATTAATTTTAGATCGACATCATTCACGAACCGCAAATAATTATGGAAATGATAGAAGAACGCTTAATAACGATTTCTCTTTGAGCGAAGAAAGTCATCGTCGCGCGGCGGTCGTCGACTTGTTGTATCATCAAGTTTCCTGGTTCATCGTTCATCGATCACGCGGGAGAATATCGTCGTGGCGTATTTGAAATGTTTCTAGAAGAAAACAAAAGAAGGGACTCGATCGAGAGGGACGACGACGACTACTAATAATGAGTAGGTGTAACGAGACACAGCTCTCGTCCGTATCGATCCGTACTGGAGCTTTCGGTGGAGGGAGCGCAGCAGCACACCGTCGTCAAGAGGAGCGACGAGCTCCGTGAAAATCGCGCGTGATCGTAGATCCAACGCAGCTTCATAGTTCACCAGTTTCTAGCGGGAGAGGGGGAGAGAGAGGGGGCCGAGGGAGGGAGAAAAAAAAAAGAAAAAAGACAGTCGGATGCGCGTTCTCGGGTGTACGTACGTACGTACATGCGCCTATTCTTTCTCTCTTCCTCTGTCAAGGCAAAAGGAAGGAAGGAAGGAAGAAACGACGAACGAACCCCTCGTTGTCTCCCCCACCCAAGCAGCGTATAGCAATAGCGCCACCGAGCATCCTGGCGTACGGAACCGACGCTCGTCGGCCCTCAGTAGCGCGACGAGCGTCGAGTCGCGTGTGCTGTTCTTATTCTGTGTTATTTCCACTTTTCACGAGTACGAAATATATCTACCAAGTCGGCTTTTTCCCATCTGTCTCTTTTTCTCTCCTTTTCTATTCTCTCTCTTCCCCTCGTGCTATTTCACGCGCGTACACCATCCTCTCTCTTAAGCTCGAGTATATACATCATCTCGAAAGAGCATACCACGGGAGAGAAAGAGAAAGAGAAAGAGAGAAGAGTGGTGAGTAATCAAAAGTACAAAGTGAAGAACTCTCTTTGACGTTACTACAAACGTCGTCGTCCTTTTACGAAGAACGAGAGTTTAAAGGACGCCGCACACGCGACCATCTTTGCTTGCTTATGGTAGACACTGGAGGTAGAGAAGGGTGGAAGATATTCCTTTCCCCTCTTCTTCTTTCTTTTTATACTTGAAGAACGATTATAGACGCGAATGGTTAGGTACGACGACGGCATCGAGAGTTCGTCGAACGTTTCGAGGTCAGGGTCGGTCTTTCGAAGAAGAGACAGAGACACGCGGTCATGCACGCACGAAAATCGAAGGTCTCGGCACTTGGCGTTTAACCAAGACACATCCATTGCAATCTATATTTAGCTGACATAGCCATTGGGTGCTTTGCAGGAGGGATGACACGAGGGGTGTTTTATATTTCGAGGACGATCGGGGGTAGTGACTTCTCAGTGACTCATTTCTCGTTTCCTCGAATCTTGGGACCTGGGTGGGGCCGTCCGGCCGGCGGAAGTCCTGCCTTCCTGCCTTCCTACCTTCCTAACTTCCTCCTGCTTGCCCCTCATAACTCTTTGCTTTTCTACGATATCTTATTCTTCTCACACATTGTCAAATGTTTATCGACAATGTATGCTTAATATTTGTGCTTGTTATTCCAAATGAACGTACGTTTAAAAGCTAAATTTAATAATATGTCATTTTGATCGGCTAAGGGTTTAGAATCACACGAAGCCAAATAATAAATAACAATAAATAATGTTCAACTTATCGTTACTCGATAAATTTAAAAGGCGGAAAAAAGAAAAAAACGCAAGGGAACGCTCGTAATGCGATGTGTATATATTAGTCGTCGGACTAACCATAATAATTATGTTGACGTAGCATGTTATATGGTTTTCTCTGATAGCGTCTCGTGCGGTTTTTTTTTATCTTCATCGTGCTTCATAAATTCGATCGTATCGTCGTGTGATAATAGGAAAATCAAAGCTGTGTGCGAATGAAACCGCTATTGCGAATAATATTTATAAAATATTGGCACTATTTCCTTAGATTTTCGAATTTATAGTTCGTAAATATATTCAACATTAATGCGAACACGCGTTTGGCGTCTTTTTTCACGTCCCGGTAAACCTGTGTACCTATCGGTCTTCTTTCTCTTTCCGCTCTTTGCAATGGAAAATATTATATTTTACTTGAAATAAGATAGATGATAGAATTGACTTCTGACATTAATTATAATTAATGACGCACGTCGTATATTTTAGAAAATATCAAATTCTCAAAAGAAAGAAAGAAAAAACAAATGCTATTGTCAAAGTATCGTTGTAGCTGGAAGAGAACACATTGAGGATTGTATAATAATCAAGATTTAAATTGAATCGAATTTAATCGAATGAACGGCCAGCGAACAATCGATATAAAAAGTACCTCGATCAGTTGAATCTCCGATTCTGTTAGTTTAATTAAGAGAACGTCGTGGTTATACGCTGCTGTACGCGGCTACGAATACATCGTATATATTGTAAGATTAACAGTAAATGGTAAATCGGGAAAACTACCGTTCGATGATTCTTCTCTTCCTCTTTGCGCATCATTGCTCCGAAACAGATGCTGCATATGCGCATATGTATTCATGTATAAACTCGAGTGTCGAAGAAGGAAATGTTATTTAACGCGGTCATAATGTAAGATGCGTACGTTAACCTACTCTTGATCAACGGTAACGCGTAGAACAACGGCACGTTGAAATCGGTTAATGACCGTAATAGATGTTGTAACTCAGGGAATCGCAATAATCATAATGACATTACCATTCGAATCAACTAAACGGTACTACGTGTTTTTTCTCTCTTTCACTCTATAGATTAGTCGGAAGATTTATCACGATTGTTAATTTAACGTCTTAATATATAAACGATTTCATTTGTATATATCGAAACTATTGACGAACGAATTGGAATAGCAGTCCTGTCGAATGGGTAGGATCAATACCTGCTGGCTGTACGCCCTGCCATGTACGCCCTGCCGTATACAAGGAAGGGATAGGGCGGGGATCCTTCCTTGTTTCCTTTTGCGCTGAAACGTTGAGCATTATTCGAGTTTCGTCCTTTTCTTTTTTTCCTTTTATTTTATATTTTTTCTCCTTTCTCTGTGTCTACTGCTTGTCATGATAATTGTCAATTTTTATACGACGAAGCACGTAATGTAACATACGACTGTATAATTTAGTCGTCAGGGACATTCGGATTCGACGTACATCTTATTATTTTCATTCTTTGTTTTTTTTTTTTTTTGTTCTTCATAGCCCAAACACGCCAAATTGGCATACCTACCTAGATACGTTATTTTCTCTTTTGCGGTATATACTCTGTGTACTTTATTTTTCGAGAATTTACTGCCGGAAAGACTGGTTCTGGTATAGGGTTTACCTACGTAGTCATAATAGACGAGAAACCAGAGTACACAGGTGGTCGCACAGGATACTTCGTTCTGCGTCCAGTTCACTCACCTCGCTTCAAAGTCCCGTTTTCGCTAAAACTTCTTTTAGAAACTTTATACGCCTTGTTAATTCTCGCGTACTGTCTAAGAATTCGGATAATTATGGAATTCTTTGATTAATTATATAAATATGAAACTGACCAAATACATAATTAAAAGAGAAATTTCTATAAACGCACAATTTATAATTCATTTATCGAATTTCTCGACTTTTGAATGTCACGCAATTTGAAATAGGATGTGCAAACGCGCGAGATTTCATCGAGTTACTTCGCAGAAGGAAGCATCTCATTGTGAGATAATATGTCGATAACGTTCCGCTACCGGTTTAGAAGATTCTTTATTCTTTTTTTATTCTCTTTCATATTCTCTCGATAAAGATTGAAATTATTTGAACAAAAATTATTAAGTTTTAATAATTTGCACACATTTACATATATATATATATATATATTATATTTAATATTAATAATAGAATTTGATGTTTGTTTTTAGGATTAATCTCGGATTTAAGATTATTCCTTTACTTACAAAGCTTTACGGCTTTCGTAAAAGGGAGAATTTCATACGAAAAGAGAAGCGAGTAATTAAAACTTTGGCTGATTTTAAAAGCAATGCAGAGCAACGGTTCGGAGAATATGGGACCCGAAAATGGTGTTGAAAAATCTGGATGGACAGTAGGCATTATACTCCGCGATATAATTTTTGTCTTATTCATCTTGAAAAATTGTCTCTCCTGTATCACTTTTGATTGATTATTTATACAAGATATTCAATAGAATATTTGTTTTATAGGATCGATTAATATATTTGTCCTTTCTTCCAATCAGGTTGGATTGATTAATGGAAAATACAAATATCTTACGGCTGAAACTTTTGGCTTCAAAATCAATGCTAATGGATCAAGCTTGAAAAAGAAACAATTATGGACTCTGGAAGGAAGCGATCAGCAAGTATTTCTTCGTTCTCATTTGGATCGATACTTGGCTGTAGATCAGTTTGGAAACGTGACTTGCGAAACGGAAGATGTTAATGATCCTGGCTGTGCTTTCCAAATACAGCTGGCCTCTGATGGTAGACATTCATTTTTTTTCAATATAGTCTATAATGAATATTTCACGTTAACATTTTCTAAAATGTTTATTATTAATTTTAGGAAGCGGTCGTTGGGCTTTAAAGAACACGCAGAGAGGCTATTTTCTAGGCTCTAGTCAAGATGAATTAAAATGCATAGCTAAAGCTCCGGGCGAAGCAGAATATTGGCTTGTACATCTTGCTGCCAGGCCACAGGTATAAATTGTATCTTTGAGTTATTTGTTAGTTTTCGAAAAATACAAATATTTCTATTCGTGAATAGAACATTCATTGAATATTTGACTATAGGTAAATCTTAGATCTGCCGGAAGAAAACGTTTTGCTCACTTAAGTGCAGCACAGGATGAAATTCATGTTGATGCACCAGTACCATGGGGCGAGGATACTTTATTTACTTTAGAATTTCGTCCCGCAGCCATGGCAGATCACGATGATGATCATGGAGATCACGTGAAATCAGAGGGTGGACATTACGCTCTTCATACTTGTAATAATAAGTACCTTGCACGCGATGGTAAATTGTTAGATAGTTGCACCAGAGACTGTCTTTTTGCGGCTGAATTTCATGCAGGACTACTTGCACTGAGGTTTTTATATTATACAATTATATTATTATAGATATTTCTATATATTCATGTAGTAATATTTCAATGCAATATTAATTAATTATAGAGATATCAATGGCGCATATTTAGCACCGATTGGAAGCAAGGCTGTATTAAAGTCTAGATCCACAACCGTAACGCGCGACGAACTCTTTTCTTTGGAAGAATCTCTTCCACAGGCCTCCTTTGTTGCTGCTCTAAATCAGCGATATGTTTCTGTAAAGCAAGGTATATTTTACAATTATAAGATATATTTTTTTTCAAATAGCCATAACTTTGTTAAAAATTGACTTATAGGGCCTTTTTTTTTACATTTTTTGTTTTTAAATATACCATATGCATTTCTGCATATCGAATATTATTTATTTGCGAATATTTCAGGAGTGGATGTAACTGCAAATCAAGATGAAATTTCTGGTCATGAAACATTTCAATTAGAATTCGATCGTGTCACAAAACGATGGTACGTACGTACAATGCAGGATCGTTATTGGAGTTTGGAAGCTGGTGGCGGCATCCAAGCTGCTGATCACAAAAAGTCTTCGAATGCTCTATTTGATCTTGTTTGGCAAGAAGATGGTACGGTGGCATTGCGTGCTAACAATGGCAAATTCATAGCTACTAAACGTTCTGGCCACCTTTATGCAAATGCTGAACTTACTAATGGAAGTGATTCGGATGCTTGTAAATATTATTTCTATTTGATAAACAGACCAGTTTTAGTACTTCGATGTGAGCAAGGCTTTGTAGGTCCTAAAAGTACAACTAGCCCCAAGCTTGAGTGCAATAAAGCTAGTTATGAGACAATTCGCGTTGAACGATGTGAACGTGACATTGTTAGATTTAAAGGTAATACTTTGATTTTGTCATTTGAATTTCAATATTTTCTTCTCTCTCTCTCTCTCTCTCTCTCTCTCTCTCTCTCTCTCTCTCTCTCATTGTGACATTTCATATATTTATATTATTTAATATTAAACATTATTTTTTGTATCTAGGACAAAATGGAAAATATTGGCATGCAGATAGTGAGGGAGTAACTGTTGATTCTGATTATTTTCTTCTCTCTCTCTCTCTCTCTCTCTCTCTCTCTCTCTCTCTCTCATTGTGACATTTCATATATTTATATTATTTAATATTAAACATTATTTTTTGTATCTAGGACAAAATGGAAAATATTGGCATGCAGATAGTGAGGGAGTAACTGTTGATTCTGATATACCATCTGATGGCTTTTACTTGGAAATGCGTGAACCATCTCGTCTATGCATTAAATCTACTGATGGTCGATATCTTACTGCAGGTAAAAATGGTGTTTTGCGTTTAGGAGAAACAGATTATGATTCTGCCACAAAATGGGAATTCTAATGTGGGTGGCTGCTTTTGGAAAAACATAATCCATCAGATGTGATTATATCTCATCGTATTTTTTACCTGGGAACGTAAGAACAAAAACTTTGTTCCTACTATGATGTACTTAACCAAGAACAGTTTTATAAACTTCACCGTCAAACGAATTTACGACATATCGATGGTGAATTATCTTTATGGGGCTACAAAAAAAGATATCGTAAATTTGCATAAATCAAAGACTGACAGCTATATTAACTGTGAATTATTAAGAGCCAATCATTATCACGAGCTTTTTTATACGCAATGCTTCATTTTATATAAACTATACAATCAATTTATAGCGCAATAAGCTTCATAAAGTAAATCATTTGAATTACGTCAAGACACATTGACAATACGTATTTGATATTTGATAAAATTGTGTATTAAAAGTGAGGATGTTCTTTGTGGGTCATTTATGAGATATCTTTAATAAAGCTTTCCATTTTTAATAGCATATATGCATAGATTACTCATAATTTAAATTAAGGGGAATATAACAAGAGTATAGACGCGCGCGTACATTGGTCATAGACTAATTTTTGTTCTACTATTGTTCTCTACCAAAAGCATATTATAATATGAATACTAAATTATATCCCTTTTTTGATAAGTGCTTTTTCGAATTGCAAATTTCAAAGAGAAAATATTTCATAGTTGTTTGCAACACTAATATGTGATGTGTTTTATTTAATACACGCATACTTTACATTCATAATACTTATTGCTTTAAAACACTCTGTCAATTCTTATTAAACAAAAAGGTATATATTCGAAAGAATTATTTCTTCTTTTTTTTATTCACATATTTTTAAACTCAAACTAAGGACTGATCTATTTAAGTATCAAGTAAGTTCAAAGGCTAATATCAACAATGACCAAAAGTAATATTTAATGTTTTATAAATAAATTTATAATGTGTGTTTCATTTGATATATATATATGAAACATGAGAAATATTCCTCTCTAACAATTAGTGTTAAAAATAATCAATCCATGATTTTCTGCAACTATTTACTTGTGCACAAATTTCTGTAGCTTTCATTAAAATAAACTATTACATTTGGAATTTTTTATTAAAGGTAACAAGTATAATATCGATATATTATAACAATACATTGAAATTAAATTCGATGAGTACGCTTGAGCGGAAAATGAGTATAAAATGTAGTAACATGTAGAACTTACTTATCGTCATTGGTCATCAATTTAAACCTATTCCAAATCAATATATTGCATAGGCATGTATTTTTAATCGTCTATGCATTGCGCAATATAAAACTTTTGTCTATTTTTGCTATTAATTATGTACAATTTTTACAAAACTGTGTGGATTTGATTTTTTTTTCTTTTTAAATACTACTGTACGCAACTATCGATATTTCCAACTCTAAAATCTCTCTTATATATATATACAATTAATAATTTTATTAAGAATTATTAACACACGAATGTAATAAACAATTTTATATTGACTGAAAATAGTTTTTTTTATAATATAAAGCCCTGTTAGTATGGTTTCTTTTGATTTTTTTAATATATATGTTACCATATGAAGAACCGAAATTGGAAAATGTCAAGATTCATTATTGTGCATGGTCATGATGTATGTCAGAAATATTAATGTATAAAAATAAACCCAAATATTCGGTCATTTCATCTACGTATTTTGTATGTGTTGTTGACAAGCAACCATGTGAATCTTGACATTATTCAATTTCGGTCTTTCACGGTGTAACATATACAATAAATGAATATATTATATGCTTTAATTCTTTCCAAACTTTGAGCCTTCCATTAGGCAACAATCTGGACAGTAGGTTTTAAAGTATATAGCGAAAAAATGATATCTACTTTAAAATTATGACGTGGAAACTGTTAATTTCATTTTACATTGTTTTCCTCAAATTGTTCTTTGTTATAAGAAAAAATGTTTTCAATAATATCAAACTTGAATTAGTATGTTATTAAACTGATGTTGCATCTGAGAAGTTAAAATTACTCGAGCAGCTGTATATGTCAAAGAGATTATTAGTAATAATAAGGACAATATGGGATCTTTAAAAGGATATTCATTCAATTTATTTATTTTAACTGAATTCATTCTGTAATTTTTTTAATAAACGTTCTTCCGCTAATGTCAACTTTTCCTGATATAGAGTTTTTAGATATGGATATAAAATAGGTAAATCTTTCATTTGCGATAGAGTAAAGTGCATATAATCAAATGCTATGCCAACTTTGCTTAGGTCATATTTACTCTTCTCGGGAATAACGGGCATTTTCGCATTTCTTTGACTAAAATGCGTTAATAGAGTAAAACCTGATTGCATTTTCTCGCCAGCACTAATGGCAGCTGATACGGTTGAATGTTTTTTCTTTTCTGCTTCCTTTATTAATTCATCCTGTAGAGTTGCTTCATGAATCAATAAATCGCAATTCATACCTAGTTGTATTATGCTATTACAAGGCATGGTATCACCGCTAGAGCATCAAATGAATAATTTTTAATCTGTTATTGATATTAAAACTAAGTATATTTTTTTATTTTAAGCGTTCTTATTATTACCTGTAGACGACTTTTTTATCATTTTCAAAAGTCAAAGCAATTCCATATGACAAATTGCAATGCCTTACTAAGGTAGTTTCAAGTTTCTTAATGTTCAATTTCTCACACAGATCTTGTTTCATCAATATAGTATGTTGTCGCATCACTTTGTGAGCCAAAAGATCCCCGTTTGATATATATTTAACATATTTTTTAATGGTATCATACCGTTCATAACAATAATTCATCCATGATTTAAGAGTGTCTGGCATTAGTAAAAAAATGGGTTCTTTTGTGACTTTCGCTCTAGCTAATATAATCCCTATTAAACCCAAATGATGATCTGCATGCATATGAGAAACATATATTGCCTAAAACAAAAATCATCTCTTTTTGATTATCAATAGAAATTATTTAAAAAAGAAAACCAAGTAAATTAGTATATTTAATGTACCTTGATTGTAGATAGAATATGATTGAGTTTAGCCAGACCATAAACACGTGCTATTTGAGACAATGTTCCTTCACTACAATCTAATAATATACTACTACTTTCATTTATTCTCACAAAAATAGCACTTGTATTTCGAACTTTACTAGGTATACTAGAACCAGTACCTAACATCACAAATTTCGGATATTCTTCTGTATCAAGTACTATACTTGTTTGTTCATCGATATTAGAGCGAAGTTCTTCCAGCATTGTAGAAAAATACTCAATTTCCAATAATTGATTCGTATAAATTTTTCGATCAATAAAGATCTTAGTGTCTGTATGGAACTTTTTTTCAGGTCTAAATTCAATAGTTTGTAGTGTTTTAGCATAATGTATTCGTTGATTATTATCCTATGCACATATAAATATTTAATTACTATTATTCATATAGTAGTCATAAGATCACTTATTCATTGAATCATTTCAAACTGTTTTACTTACCGTATTAAGATTCTCATTGTTTACAGTTGATTCATTTTGAAAACATTTTGACTCCAAGAAAGGAAATATTTTAGGATTTAATAAATTCAACGTATGTTGCTGCTTGTATACTGCTTCGCTACCCAAGCAAGTGTTGCTTTCATTTATTATTAGATGATAAGTATTTGAATCGAAATTATTCATCCATTCTTTATATTTGGGATTATCAATTATCTCCTGCGGTGTAAAATGTATTATACAATATGGTTTGTCATTTTCATCAGAGGCATTTTTTTGGTGTTTTACAAAAGCAGCTTCATTTACAAATGATTCTAGGAATTTCTCATTCGGACAATCAACAACTATAAACCAAATATTCAATATTAATTATTATTATTACGGGGAGTATTAAATAATAAGATATTAAATATAAATAAAATAATATAGAAACAAAAATAAAAAGTTATGATTACCTACAAACGTTGGGCCTTTTTTCTTTGGAGAACAAACTTCATCGTTTCTTACGATGGTTCCATCATCTAAAGTGACATTTTCCCCATTTTTAAGAAGTCCTAAGATAGGACCAGGCTTAATGCCTTTAGCAAGACATTTTTCTAAAGATAAAGTACCTGGCTTGTCCTTTAATTTGCAAATATAGCACAACACAGGTGGATCATTTGTATTTAACTTTATTCTTTTATCAGTTCTAATTTCGTTAGTTTTTCTTTTCCCATCGGTATTGGCATATATGATACTACCATTGTCTGTGCTGTTATTTATTATTGTCTCGGAGATACATTTAGAAGATATATCGTTCACATTTGAATATATTGGTATGCATGAAACAGTCATCACATTATCATCATACTGTTTAAATGTCTCGGGTTCGTCAAAAGTAGCGTACAATTTTTTCATAATGTTAGAATCTTTCAATATTTGTAACATTTGTTTAGTTTTTCTAGGTGCAGTTATATTTGTAACATTGATATAGCAATCATCTTTCATTTCATCGGAAAAACCTTGTATTGTAAATATTACTCCTGGCAATCCACCTACATTTTTCCAGATTCCAGACGTAATAAATATACGTTCTATTTTGGCCAGTTTAGTTTTATGCTCAGTAGTTAATCTTTGTGTTCCTTCTCCACAATTAAACATGTACCTCTTACGATCTGTGATTAAGATTAAAGAAGTGCTTCCTGCTCTAGATCCACAGCCTAGAACCTATAAAAATTGTAGAATAATTTACGTTAAAATGTAATCAAATCAAATCAAATAACAATTGTGCAGTTGTGAATAAAAAGAATAATTATCAATAGACCTGCAGGCGCACTTCTGCTGGAGTACCATTTGATGGCATGGCGTGTTTAGCATCAAGTTGCAGCGTGTTACTTATTTCCGCAGTGAAAAACCGCGACCGGCATTTTCTTACAATATTACTCGTTATATTCTTAGCAACCAACATTTATTTTTATTATTATTATTATTGAACGTTTTTCATATTAAAATATATTTCTATCCAATTTAATAAATTTCCTACGAATACTGATTGCAACACTAATTCATCACAACCTAAAATCTAATGTCGACAAGTTGCACTTTAGTAATATTTCCATGAAACTTCAATGCAGCCTTAAGCCAAATTTACATGAAACTTCAATGCAGCCTTGAGCCAAATTTACATGAAACTTCAATGCAGCCTTAAGCCAAATTTACATATCAGAGAGAAAGAGAGAAAAAAAACAACAATTTTTTTTTGTAGAAAAATGTCTTATGTGTATACCTATGTTTCATCAATTCCATAATTACAGTTTATTTGTTATTAATTAATTGTTAATAATTAATTTTTATCTTTCTTCATTTCGTTTCTATTTTATTTAACAACCTCACTTCACACAAGATAGATGATAGGTAGTCACCAATTTTGTTTTCTTCTACACACAATGCCATCTTACGAGAAAGATATGTTATTACGAAGAACAAATTGCGCGACAATGCTCTTCATTGTTTATTGACATTTCCTACATAATGAACTTCATCTAACATTATATAAGTACAGCGCGCATATTAAAGATTACGATAAGAGTGGTATTGAAACAATTCCTGGTTGAATATATGATATTGACATTGATACAATGGCAAACATTATCGCGGTGCCCTTGGAATCTTGTTGCAAACGATTTAATTCGATTGGTTGTAAAAGCGGACTATCCTTTTTGCTAAAACAAATGACTATTTATTATCATTTATATATAATATGTTTAGCGCGAATGTTGAAAATAAATGTTTATACCTTACGACAACCAGTCGATAAAGTGGTTCACCTGGATTGCCTTTTCTGTAATGCTGAGTATTTGAATAAACATTATACGATATTTTCAATTCGTTTCTTTTTTTTCTAACAATTTTGTCTGGTGCATTTTTGATTATCCTAAGCTTATTATAAATCTCAGCAAGACTCGACACACTTTTTGGTCCAACAAGAGGAGGAATATGTTCCTTAACTATCTCTACTTCGGTAATTTCGGAGTTATTAGTACAATCTTCGTCATCTATAATAATGGTTTTCTCATCGTACCATTTATCTTTTAACTCTTTCCACGAAGTTACATTTGGTAAAACTTTGAACGATGATTGATACTCATTTTTGTCACTTTTGTTATTTCCCGTAGATATATTTGGTAATCTATATCGAAACGATGTAATCAAGCAATGTAATCATTAAAAATTACATTATAAAATATGTCGACAATAATAAAAAAAAAAAAAAAATGAAGTACCTGCTTTGTTGTACAGTATTTCTAAAAGATCTAAAGTGTCCTGAATTTCCAAACATGTAAGCATGGGAATTATTGTGATTTAAGTTCTCTTGAATAAATGTACCTCTATTATGCCAGTATGTTTGATGGTAAAATGGAAATCTATTATTGGGTAGCTGGAAAAATCCAAATCTTGAACATTGTACTGACTGCATGGTAAACAATGCACGCCAAACAAAATCGTAGACGTTCGTATGTGTGCTTTGATTATAGACTATTCTGTTATTAGCCTGCAAATTGGTACTAGAGCTACGTTGTATTTCTTGCATGTTTTGTTTAGAATTTTGCAAGCGCATTTTACTGTCGATTTCTGATAAACTTCTTAATCTTTTTGTTTCGTATTGATATATATCTTTACGAAGTTTTATTGTATGAGGTATATAATTACGTGAAATCTGTAGTACAATGACTGATCGAGAAGCAATATTTGGTAGTAACTCGAGCATCTCCATTCTCGTTAAAGTAGGAACAACTATCTCAATTTCATCATCGGAAAGATCAATCACCTATTTAAAGAAAAACTCGTCATATGATTTGAACATGATTAAAACGCACTTCAATGGAGTTTAATATCATCTATTGAATTAATTATATCGCGCATCGTACCTCTAATTTGGATTTCTTATTGTCCGATTGATGACTTCCACAAGATAGTGGTGGTTCTTTTCTCTTGAGAAAACTATTTCCTTCTAAATCTTTCGATTCAGATTTATTATTAACTGATAACGATCTGGTTTCTATCCTTTTTGGGAGTAATTTGATATTACGCTGTATACGAGAATCTGAACATTTTGTTACAAAATTACCATTCTTCGTTATAACTTTGTTTTTATCAGACAGGGTCTCCTCGCTAATAATTCTTGTTTGCGAATTCAGATTGTTTTCACTATTGTCAACTTGTTCTCCTTTGTTTATTGTTTCTTCCTCTTTTCTTGAATTTAATTTCGATTGATCATTTTCTAATTTGTTATTATAATATTTGGATATAAGCGATGAGGAATCATTTTTACATTCTATCGCACTTTTCATATTTTCAATAATACTTTGTACATCTTTTTCTACCATATTACTTGAAAACTTGGCAGATTTGTCAGCCTGTAAATGGTTAGTACTTTCCAGTATATTTAATTCTTCTTTAGCATTATCAAATACTTTGAGTTTATTGCTTGCATCACGAGCCTCTTTTCGTTCTGAATCTCCCATACGCAAACCTTTCTCAGGTTCTCCGATAAGTTTTATTTTTAAAGGAACAGATTCATCGGGTATCGCATTTTTGACTGAATTTTCGTAATAAAATCGTTGTATGTGGTAACCATAGCGAGTTAATTGACTATAAACTCTGTATTCTTCTAAAGTACATTCTTTATTATCTATTAAAATTTCATATGCTTGTTGAATAGATAATGCTACGCCATTCCATGTAAGTTCCAAACAGTTCTGAAATATAATCAGTTTCATATTTATATTTCACATACAAATGATGAATTAATTGATTTAAAAACAAACAAAACTATTATATACCATCTCTAGAAGAAGTAACGATTCTTCTGGAAGCAAAAGTAATGTTTTATTAACTTCAATACCAAAATTGCCCCAATCCTGGCCAGATTTTTTAATAACCCGTGCCTTTCTTGTCTGAGGTAGCCATTCTGCAACTGCTAATTGAGAAATACGTTCTACCCTTTCGATATTCAACAAGTCTTTACAATTTTTTAGATTCTTTTCTATTTGAACATTTTCCAACCAAGAGTTATTCGGTTCATATTCTTTTTGTCCAAATTTGGGTAATACTTTTTTCGATTCCTCCCATTCTGTATAAGTTTTGTACTTAATACCTTTATTTTGAATAAGTTGATCTGCCCTTTAAAATAAGAGATTTTTCAAAAAATCAAATACTTGTGATATTACAAATACTGGCTAAAGAAAAAGTACGTAGGTTAAGATAACGTAAGAGAAAATGTGTTTGTTTTATCAAATAATTTCACTTATATCCTAGAAACTTACGTTAAAGTATTTCCAGATAATATTTCCTCTTTTTTATTCATTTTTATTCATTTATCATGGATCGATTGTGGAAACTGATAACATGTAATAATGTTCAGTTACATTGTAAATGTTATTCAAAACGTTTAATAAAGAAAAATAAAGGGGGAAGAAAAGAAAAATAGAAAAAAATAGAGAGAGCAGAAAAGAAAAATAAATATATAGGAATACTTCTTATGTTATGATTCAACATAAAAAATAATATACTCAATTAGATCACCAATGTATATAATATAAAAATACAGTTTATATATCACATTTGTTTATTATTTAGATTTAAACTGTAACTAACTATAAAGTCGGATGAAAAAAAACATGGCGCCACTTAAATGAGCATAACTATAAAGCATAGACTATGTAACTTGTGACTTAACGATCGAATTATGGTGTTTAAGGTTATTTACAACTTGGTCATTGAAACTCTCCATAATATCGCGTAAATGAGTATTACCTTATGATCTAATGCACGTGCCTCCTAACACACATGTAAACAAATGGCTTATAGAACGTAAAAAGGATACTGAGTTTGGAAAAAACTTGATGAAATTTTGATTAAATGGAAATATGTTACTGGGTGAATATATTTTATGTATTTAAAAAACTGTGCCACGTGCTTATTCGTCAATCCTATATTTATATATTTAAGTATCATATTATTAATTAACGGAAATAAGTAATTATATTCGTAAGAGACATCTTTTAACAAACGTATCGGTCATCCTATTTTCTACTTTTGATTTTATATTCATTGCCATTTTAAAGACAAATTTTGTCTCTACTTTTAATCGAACCATTCAAATCGCAATACATATTTGAATGAAAATTTCAGAGACTGATATCAAGGACATTAACGACTTAAATTGTTAAATAGCAATTTTGAAAGATTCACGTCATTTTCATTAATTCAAACAAATTTCTACCATAATCGATATGACGTTACCTAATACTTTAGAAGCTTCTGTAATAGATGAAATAGCATTGGAAGGTTTGGATGGAATTACTTTACAAGGTGAGTTAATATTTCTTCGACACATATCCTTACGTACTTTTCATGTTTATATATCATTATTTTTTGTTTCAGCTTTATGGTTACGTTTGGCACATAGATTTAACAATCCTTTACAATGTACACAACAATTTATGAACCAAATATGGTCTATGTGTGTAAATCTTCAGGAATTTACATTTTATAAATTAAAAGTGCCAAGAAATCCACTTGTTATATATGATCGTTATGAATTTGTAGATCCAGATCTAGGTATTATACTTGAACCAGTAAGTAAATCTAAACATGTAACCATTATCCTATAATTTCATATTTCATCTTGTATCTCTATTTTCTTTCAGGATAATATTCCAGAAGATATTTATCCTTTTTTTCCTATAAATGATCCAATTACAGGAGTTAGGGGTTCTTGTTCGACTTATAAGACTCGTAAAGTTATTAATGTTGATATCAGAAAATATACTTTAGAGGAAGCAACGAAAGAATATGATCAAAGATTAGTCATTGTTGCATCTCAAGCTGCAAGAGAGTTTGCATTAATGGGCGATAAAGCATCTTCTATATTGAAATTAAGTACTATGCATTACTGTTTCCTTGAAAGAGTTGGAAGATCGCGTTATCATGGTGAAGTAACGCAGGGAAAAATTAGTCTTAGTTTGTTAAGAGAAGATCCTAGAACATTGTTTTATCATAGAAAGTTTTTACTTCGTCATAAATTGATTACAAAGCAGACGCATCATCAAAAAACAGGAGGCCATAGTTGTACCGGTAGCTTATTACATCTACCACGATTCTTTGTAGAAAGGAAACCAAAAATGATGTTCTTGGCTGAACAAGTCATTGAGATACTTAAAACGAAAAAAAATTATATTGCTGAATATGAAGAAGTAAAGAAGAAATTGCAAATTGCAAATTCTATTCAAAAATTAGTTAAAACATCTTTTTTTCAAAAGGCAGTAAGAACAGATCTGGTAAGTGAGACCTATTTTATATATATATATATATATATATATATATATATATATATATAAAATATATANATAAAATATATACATAACATATATATAATATATATACATAACATATATTACCGTGAAAGACCGAAATTGAATAATGTCAAGATTCATATGGTCGCTTCGTATATGTCTGGAATATTAATGTATAAGAATAAACCCAAATATTCGGTCTTTCATCGACGTATTTAGTATGGAATCTTGACATTATCCAATTTTGGCCTTTCACAGTAACATATATATTATGTACAACATATTTGTAGACTTTTTATATAATAAATTGTTTACAAAAAGTAAACGTTTATTAAAATGTTTAATCAAATTTTATTGTTAATTGATAGAAAGTACCGTATAGAACTTTATATCCAAATGCAGAACCTAAAGAGTGGCAACGGAAGAATGATCCATCGAAGGAAAAAGTAATAAGGGTAATACAACTGATAACTCCTGACGTTGATATTGCTGAACTATTGAACAAAGATGAAATACACGAGGATGAAGAGCAATTAGAGTTAGATATTCGCAATCACAAATACGATTATTCTTACCTTAAAGAAGCTAATAATATGAACGAAGGAAGCAGTATTAATGGTGTTTCTCAAGGAAGCTTATCTAAAGATATGGGTTTAACGAAATTACAATGTAGAACTATATTACGTAATCTAGTGAAAATGGATATCGTTGCGACATACATGAATGATGCAGGTAGGCAAAGAGTAACAAAATATGTATCTAAAAAGTTTGAGGCAAATAGCACGATGAGTATGCAATTTAAAAAAGAAATGAATAGAATTAAAGAGCTTACGAAGCATATATCAAATAAGAAAAATGAAGTTATACCAAAACAAGAGGATTTACAGGAAAAAGAAAGTAGTGAAGTTAGCGATTTTTATACGCATTTAATTAAAACTATAGAGAAATTAAATTATCATGTAATTATTGATAATAAAACAAAGAAACATTCTGACGTTGGAGAGCAAGAACCATTTATTAATACCGACAAATTAAGATCGGTATTTCGCATTGTCAGTAAAATATTTTGGAAATATCGTATAACAAAGTCACGAACTAGATACAAATGTACCTTCTTGAACGTGTCGAGAAAAATAGTTAACTTAAAATTGTTAACTAACGAAAGACAAAAAGAAAAATCAATACAAAATGGAAGGAACATAGGAAATACTAGTGATAGTTTCGAAGATTCCACAGTTACATCTACAATTTCAAATAATATTAAAGATGTTTCAATGTATAAAAGTATAGAAACAAATTTGGTTACCCAAAATCCGATACGCGGTGGAAAACCGATTAATGAAATTTTTGGTTTGATGGAGGATGTTGAAAATAGTAAGAAAAAAAGTGTATCTAATATTACTTATAGATTATTAAAGCGAGCAAATATGATCATCGAGTCTGTTAAAGAGCATCAAGTTATCGATGATATAACTAAGTTAATGAAGGTAAATCGCAACAGTGAATCATTTTATGTTAATCTATAATTGAAGAACATTTAAATTAGAGTAATTGCGTTTTAAGATCAAAAGTTAAGCCTAATTCATTTTCATTTTAGATGATAAATGACGAAGAAGATAAGGAAGGTTACGATGTGAAGATAGATAAAAAATCTTTGCTCAGATTATTACAGAAATTAGCCAAAGATAATTTGGTAAAAAATATCAAGTTAACTCTTAGTGCTAATGGCAGAGAAAAACATTTGACTTTCGTATGTGATCCCAATATTGATACAGATCATACGGTAATAAAGTCAGCTGTAGAGCAAGCAAAAGTTAAATTTTGTTTATTGGGATCATCAAAATCTAAAACGAATTCAAAAAATAATATAGATAAGACTCGTACTAATGCGGACAACACAAATAAAAGGCCTGGAAGACTATCGGCACTACCAACTACTTCCAAATATGATCCAGTATGTATAAACAATTTGACAAAATTAACCCATATATATATATGTAATAATAAAATATATAATGCAATAGATATGTACTTAATAATAAATATATAATTTATGTTTCCTTTTTTTTAGAAAGCAGCTCGAAAACTTGGATATAGTCCCAAATTTGTTCGTATGCAAGCACTTCATGTTCTTTTATATTATTTAGTTTATGAACATCCCGGAGAAGACACGCTTTCCAAGAATGAACAAATACAATTGTTACGTGCCAATGATTTTAGCATCACCGATAGTTTGGCTCAAGAAATGAGTAAAATTTATACCACGGAAGTAGGATGGAAGATGTTTTTGCCATCTTTACCGCAACATAATGGTAAGTAAAGTGCAACTGTATTTATACATGTTTCTTTAAGATCTTAAACAAGAGATATATGCATATAATACTATTGTTCTTTCTTTTTTTTCTTTACGTGTTAGGTTGGCCAAAAGGTTGGACTTTAATGTGTGACCTTCTGTTGCGCATTCCTCTATCAATATTTTTAAAAGTCCATAGTGTCCCATTTATTATATCAGGCTTGGAATATTATACAAATCATCCTATTAGGAAACATTATTTAATTAAAGATCTTCCAATGAATATTCAAAGTACTTTACTACATGGAAGAAAGTATATATTTGATATTCATGAAACTGTTACTAGATTATGTTATATCGGTCTGGTCCAATTTGGACCACAGAAATTAAAAGAAAAAGATCAAGTATTTCTTTACGTAAATCGTCATAGTGAATTAATGGATACAACTTCATCTGCACCTGGATATCACAAAATTGAAGAGAAAACATACCCCATAACGAAATATAATTTCAATGAGATGGATATTGTTGAAAAATATTGGTACGATATGTGGAATATATGTGTTAATACTCCTTTAGGGGGTAGGCTTGCAGTTCAGGGTAAAGATATATTATTAGAGGATTTATCTAAAAAAAGTGACATGATAGAAACAATAAAAGCTCGTACTGCAGAGGAAGCTATAATATTGGATACTGGCAAAGTACCTGGGGATCGTAAAGGTGCAGCTGGTATCGATTCTGCATTTTTTGCACACTTGAAACGTAATTGGAATTGGAATAATAATTTTACGATGCGCAATCAACTAAGAAAAGATCTAGGAAATAAAACTACGGCATGTAAGAGAGATGCTTATTTGTCAACAATAAAAGCGGCACCTGTCAAATATACTGAATTTTCTGGATTAAAAAAAGTATCAGGACCTACTATTGTAAATGCTACAGATGTGAAAACAAAGTCCCAATCGAACAAAGTTGGTGAAGTTACTAATAAGTCTATTAAACATGAAACATATACGAAATTTCATCGGGTTAAACAGAAATCATTTATTAGACGAGTTTTACCTAAAAAGGCGGGAAAAAAATCACGTGTTAAATATGATGAAATTGATTATCGTGCGCTTCAACTAATGCATAAATTGCGCGTCGATTGGAAACCACACGAAGATAATATATTACTTATATGTAAAGTTGCCATGATGTATTTGTGTCCAAATCATCGCAAACAAGTAGTATCATTTAATATGGTCAGAGATGTTTTACGCTCTTATTCTCTTAGTTCTTACAATAAAACTTCTCGAGCTTGTCAAAGAAGACTTTTATACATGCTTAGACAACCGCAAACAGTTAATAGCGTAACTTTAGGAGTAGAAGAAATAAAGCAAAATTTCTTTCTCAATAAACGATTTGGTGGTATAACAGAAAAGATTAAACAAGAATGTCCGAATCATGGCGCATATGAAAAACGCATAGCCGAAGTATTTAAAGATCTTGTTAATTACGTTGCTAAAAAGTATTACGATATTTCAGAAATGGGATCAAATGAACCTATTATTGTACCCAAAACAGTACAAGAGTTTAATATTTTTTATAAAATGATATATCCTACTAAATCATTTAATTCAGGTTTTTTCAAGGATATTCGTTGTATTAACGATATACATTCTGCTACTATTAATTCTGTTATTCATAGTTCAATGTGTTCTGGAAAAGATAAAAAATCTTGGGCATATCAATTATTTAAAGTATATCAACAGTATCCTGAGGTTCTCTTGAAAAACGCTATGGCCAAAATTAGGGCCGATCAATTGGTTACAATAAAAAAAAATGATATGCACCTAACAAAGAAGTATGCCAATTATATGCCAATGAGTAGTGCACAGTATCAGTTTAGTACAAGTTACATTTACAAATTTCAAAATAGATGGCCATATGATTTATATATGGAATCGTACAATGCTTTTTTCAAACTTATTCAATGGTATTTTACATCAAGAAAAAGTAATCCGTTGACAAATAATGTTTCTTCCGATGGTATGGAAATTATTCCAGTTACTGGTGGGATAGTTGCCATGATACATGATTTTATGCCAATGGATAAGCTAGATTTTGATATTGCGATACCCGATCAAGTAATTACATTAGATCAGAGTTTAAAAGAAAAAAATGAAACTTATTTCAGAATTGCACAAAGGTACAAAGATATTTTAGATGGTTTAGATTATTTCAAAGACAATTCGGATAAGAAGACGAATTTGATAGAAAACAATAAAATCTCAATATTTAAAAAAGAGACACTTGTTGATCATCGGACTAATAATGGGTCATCCATTCTTGAAGAAGTGAGAGATAATGACGTTGGCGATGAGCCTGGTTTTATAAAGGCAAGAAAAGTTGATCACAACTTTAGATTACAACTTATTGAAGAAAATAATTTAATTAATTCTCAAGATGAAACTAAAACCGTGTTAAACAAAACAGATGATAAAAAGTTGAATACAAATTTTGAGACATATGTTGATAATTTAAAAAACTCTTCATCTGATGTGCTTATGGATAAAGAACAATTACAAGGGAATCATTTAAAAAGAAAATGCATTGATAATTGTGAAATAGATTCTGCGGAATCAACCTCGAAGAAAGCTAAAATGGATGATGATAGTAAATGTAGCATATTAAATTCATCTAATGATACTGCACGAAGTAATATTCCAACAGATTTAAATAAGTGCCTAATTGATTTTGATGAAAAAATGGATAACGCTGAAACTTCATTAGAGTCAAGGCTTTTGGATGACAATTCAGTTGGAAGTTGGAAATCTGCAGATGATGAAAATATAATACAAAAAATCGAAAGTCAAAGTAATGATGAATATAAAAAGACAAATGATAATGCATTTACTCGTATAAGTAGTATAATATGTAGTAAATCTAAGAATACAAGTTATGCAAATTCATACGCCAAACTCGATGACACGAATGACGTTCAAAAACGATTTACAAGATTAGCCCTTTTGAAAATAAGGGAGGAGCTAAATGAATTTTCCGTATCTGATAGTCATCATGCTCACGAATACTTTGTTGTTAATATGTTCAAAATTTTTTATTACTTAGAATCATCAAAATTACAACATTGTGATGAGGATTATGAAGAGTTTAAAAGTTATGCGATACCATCTGGTATGTTACCTTTGAAATTAAAGACTGTTTCCGAAATTATAAATGATTTAAATAAATTTGCAATTTTTCCAAAAAATAATACCTCATATGCGAATTTTAAGAAAACTATGAATGGGAAGGTATTATATAACTGGATGAAAATTGATGCTATATACAAATTTGTAAGAGAAAAGAAAGAAATAGGAGCTAGTTCGGAGGAACTGATGGTAAGAATATTTATTAATATAAGATTATGGTATAATAATATTACACATGATAATCCGATAATTCATCATTTCTAATGATTTCAGGAAAAATTTCGAAAAGACTTTGGAAGAGAGCTTTATGATATAGTTTCTCTTTTAATTGAAAATTATTTGTTTTTACGTTCTGGTGTAACTACGCCCCGATATATACATCACCTTTATGTAAATCCTTGGTTGATACATTCTTACAAGATCTTTCGTTTAGAAAGAGAGTCGCTTTTACCAATACCTAAAGGTAGCATATACTTGACAGAAAATCAAACTAATGCCGATATTAATATTGATGATATTAAAAAAGATAATGATATTGATCATAATAAAAATTCATTGGAATCATCAATATGCGATATGGACATAACGATGATTGATAATGAAGAAGAAATACAAAAAAAAGATACGTTGCCTTTAATAGGTAATGGTACCGAAGAACAAGAAAATGCTACGATTATAAGTAACTCTGATGAAAGTGAAAAGGAACCAAATGTATGTGCTACAAAAAGATTACAAAGGAAAAGAATATCTTTGCTTCCACAAAAGGATATATTTACATCTGCTAAAAAATTAGATTTAACGTAAGAAAGTATAACAAGATATTATGAATTATTTGTACATTTATATATATATATATATTATATATAATTGCACATTGAAAATATAATATATTCATTTGGATGTTAAATTCGTTCATAATTTCAGTACTGCTGAGGAAATAAGGGTAGTCATGAAGCCATGGATTCGCATAGATGGTGTTTTGAATCGTAGAGTATTAGATCGTATGTTGGGAGCTGTTTTAACATATTGTTTAACACATCCTGGTGTTACACTAGTCAAAGTACAAAATAGATTTAGTCCAGTTTTACAACCGTTCCACACTCGTGAATTGATTGAGGTTTGAATATTTATTAGAATCACTTATTTTAACTGATTCAAGTAATTTTCATTTAGTAAATTCATTTGTATTAATATCATATATAACATTATATTAAATGATTATTTTATTTTATTCTTATAGATACTGATTAAATTAGGCTGTTTAGAAAAGAAGATATTGATCAAACAACATGTGACTTTGTTTTCAAAGCCTGCACCTGTTAAACCAAGTAAGTATTATTATCCATTAAAATTGATCATTGAAATAATCTTTTCTTTGTGGTTTTAACACCTTATATTTTTGTTATAATTAGAAACGGACGAGGAGTGGGTGAGCGAAGAAGAAATATTTATAGAGCCTTTAATGGGAGCGATCATAAAATTTAGTATATTTTTAAGTACGAAGATGTACAACTCGGATTATATTCCATAATGATAATATAAATATTACTAAAATGATAAGCATCTTATTGCGAGCTAAACGAGTTATTTCGATGTCGCGTTTCGATTTGTATAGGAAACAGCCTTACTAGTCAACAGACGAGGAAGCAAGTGCTAGTGTGCCTGATAATAATTATTCGTTCATAAAAATATTTCAACTATCTCTCTCTCTCTCTCTCTCTCTCTCTCTCTCTCTCTCTCTCTCTCTCTTTATGTCATATTTACATATTATATTTTCATACTATTAATATCGAAAATTACATGTAACAATAATCTAATATCGCTATGCACTCAGGTATTGTATAGGTATCTTCGTATATTAATAAAAAAAAAAAGTACGTTAATCAAAGTCTCATCAATGAATTTTCTGTTAGTTCTTTTTTATACAAATGTCTGTGATCATAATTTAACAAATGTTCTTTACGTTTATGATTATAAATGTAATTATAATAGTGTATAATACTTAAGTTAATTATTATATATTAGTTTTTGTAAATTCTATTTTAAATAAATTCGTATTTACACAATTTGGTCGATCATGGTTTAAATGATGTAACTCATAAATATATTATTTATACATAAAATTGTGTTTTGCCTTCCTTTTACGGAGAACAAGCAATATACCAACCCCGAAGGTGGAGATCCCCCCATCCCCATCAAACAACTTAATAGCAGTCAATTTCCTGTAAATAGATATTTGTGTTTAAATTTGACTTAAAAAATGGGGGTAGGGTTGTCCCAGACATTCATTGTTTCGTTTTTTAAGCTGTACGAAACAATTAAACCCAACAGCTTGGTAGAGGTCACCACCAACCTCTAACTATAATTGCGTCAGGGTTGAAACTAACTGCGCGGTGAGAACCGAGCAGCCTACCCGAAAATTCCGTTAAAAATTTCAAACTTTATACTTATCGAAGTATACAAAAATTGCGAAATTAATGAGACATCTATCGGCACATTTGACTATTTCTCACAAAAGGACGACGCGCCACTAGTGTGGCTTTCGCGGATGTGATCTTTGAGCGACGCGCCAGGCTGGGCGTACACAGTTTCAAAAGAAGAATTAATTGAATATTTATCCAGTTTTCGAGCGACTTCGTTTGAAGGCTCTTCATATTCATAATAATGACGAGGATTTACTAGTTTGCCTGATTTCCCGCTTTGACGGTAACATATATATGTATATATATATATTAAAAAATTATTCCAACAAACAATACGTCATCTCATAATACATATATACATCGTATAAGCGCATTGCATCGTCAGCGCCACGAGATGTTGTAATTCTTCGAGGCAGCTGTAGATCGATGTAGGGGCAGTAAATTGGATCAGGTGAAGAGAGTATTGCCTAACTGTATAGTATGAGCGCACATCTTTCGACGCAAGTCCCGCAACACTTTCACACATCAAGTAGAAGTGGTGAAACGCTTTGGACATGCGGGTAAATTTAACCAATGAATTCCGCATTTTGACTGGTAGAAAACGGATCTTTGAATAACGATTAGCGCAGCGGTCCTTGAGTATCACTCTTGCATGCATATACTTATTGCACACACAAGGAAATAATTGATGAAAATATTCTGAAAAGATATAAAGGATTTCTTCCAAATAGAATTTTTCGATTGAATTTTTTTTCTAATTGAGTATTATATTGTAATTAGAGTCAAAATACGTATGTATATTGGACGATGGAATGAAATGGTAATAGAAAAAATGATTTCTATAGATAAAAATAATGATATATAGCGTAGATAAGAAAGTATTAATTTAAACCGATTATACAAAAACCAATGAATCCTACTATTCTATGCTTCTCGAATCGATGAAAGTACTGTTACAATAAATCTATGACGCAAGTTTGCATAATGTATCCCTATCTCGTGCAGCATCCTTTACGTTGCCACCAACCATGAGAGTTGATTGCACAAAAACATTGCACATAAAGATAGGACGGACATAGATACAACAAGCTTGAGAACGCGACGTCTCTACAACGATAACTCTCGAACCGATCTGATTTATAATAATCGAAGAAAACGGAAGAAAAATAAGAAAACGAAGAAGAAATCTTGCTTGTTAGCACATCGCGGGCATCGATGTTTCGCTTCTGTTCCCGCATTCGACACGCATCAAGCTCGTCCTCTTCTTCTTTAATGATCTCTTAAAACGAAAGTAGGTGACTTGGATATTAAAAGTTAACAGTCGAACCATTTCAATTGGGCGTACATCTATTTTATAGAAGTGAATCCTTGCGTATGGATTATAAAGTTAAAGACCATGATTTTTTTTTAAATATTCCTTTACGACACAAGAAAGGCCTACTTCGCTGTAAAATATTTTAGCCCTTAAAAGATTTTTTGCGTAAGCGTACGACGACGAAGATCTTAGCAGATCATTCCGGATTTTGAATTTAATGAAGCTTCTCTCAAATAAATCTTTGTCTTATACTTAGATCAAGACATTATAAAGGAAACGTTTACATGCATATAAGTGTGTGTGTGTGTGTATGTATGTATGTATGTGCGTTTTTAAATGGTCGTTATTATGAAATATCGCGCGCACAATTTATTGTAATTTTCTTTAATAAATCATAGAATAAAAATGAATAAAAGCTCTTGTACAAAGGACCGAAGGATAACTTAACAGGATCGTACAAAGAAAAATGAGAGTACACGATCGATGTATTAATAATTACTTCCGTAATCGGGATATCTAAAGGTGGTGCAATATTTCGGAGTACATAAACATGATGGTCGCGCTTTCTCTCCTCAATTTCTTTTATGATTCCTCTCGCGTGAGTTTGTCATCGCGTAAATTAAATAGATATTTCTCCTTTTCAAAAAGTTCCACGATTTCATGTGACTACGAATTTAGCGTTTTTTTGACACAAGAGATATTCCATAACTTAATATCGATTTAATGAAATAATAATCTTAACGCGTTGAAGTTAACTAAACTAACTTTTCTTTCAAAGATCTTACGTATATATATATATATATATATAAATAGTTATATGCATTTTTAGACCAATGTATAATATATGTAAAAATATTTGCCTTTATTTATTTCTTTATTTTTTTAATCATTCGAAGACGAGTCGAAATTTTGAAGATAGACTGTTGTTTTATTTGAAACGTTCGATGCATTAGAATGCTTGATTATCCGAATAAAACGAAGAGATCTTGGTGTAGACGTAATATGTAAGATCGATTGGTAACGATACGATATGGGATTCGTAATCCATAAGATATAGGACATAGGTTGCTTGCCTAGTTCGCATCTTCAGTCCCACTCTCCTCTTTACCGTCACCGAGCACCGATACACCACCGTGACATAGTTATACCGATTCTCCTTGTAAATCTTGCCGCTTGCACCAAACCATGATCCACAAATGCGGATGGGTCTCGGTATATATAAACCGGATTAGAGACCAAAGTTTGTCATTCACTCATCGTTATCCCATCTTGATAGAGGCTCTCAAGGAGAGCCTTAAGAGTATTGACGTGCTAAAACATTCTTGGAAAAGTAAAAACTCATAAAAAGGGCAAATCGTTTTCCTCAAAAAAGGGGAAAACGAAAGAAATTCCATTGAATTCGTTTTTCAGTTTAATTAAGATCCGTTACTTAACGTCAGGATGTTCAAGGTAAGCGATTGTCTGCAAAATATTTGTACAATTAATGCAAATTGATATGATCTTAAATATAATTATAGCTGTTTACATCGTCGTGTCGATTTTGAAAGATTTTTTAATATGATGTTTATGTTATATACATATATTATTTGAATCATTCTTATGGTCACACTCTCGTTTTTTGTATTTTCTCTTATTACAAATAAGTAATTAATTAAGTATGCTATTATATTTTGTAGTTTGCAGTAGCTACCATCATCATAGGTCTGGCTTTGGCACGGCCAGAACCTCCAGTAAATTCATATTTGCCTCCCGGTGCAAACGGTGGCCAAGGTGGTGGTGGTGGCGGTGGTGGTGGTGGTGGTGGTTTCGGTGGGCCTTCCAGCGAATACGGTCCACCAGGATTTAGTGGTGGGAACGGGAGGGGAAACGGAAGAGGACCGAGTAATAGCTACGGTGCACCAGGATTTGGTTCAGGAGGAGGTGGACGCAACGGAGGTGGAAATGGCGGCGCTGCTGACAACGGGTTTGGTGGAAATGGATTTGGTGGAGGCAACGGCAATGGAAGACCATCGAGTAGTTATGGAGCACCTGGAACTGGTGGAAATGGATTTGGCGGAGGTTCAGGAAACGGAAGACCTTCCAACGCTTATGGGGCTCCTGGAGCTGGAAACGGATTCGGTGGAGGCAATGGCAATGGAAGGCCATCGAATAGTTACGGAGCACCTGGTGGTGGAGGCAACGGTAACGGTAATGGAAGGCCATCGAGTAGCTATGGAGCACCTGGAGCTGGTGGAAACGGGAAAGCTTCTAGCAATTATGGAGCTCCGGGATCTAACGGAAACGGATTCGGTGGAGGTAACGGCAACGGGAGACCATCGAATAGTTACGGAGCACCTGGTGGAGGAGGCAACGGTAACGGAAGGCCTTCGAGTAGCTATGGAGCACCTGGAGCTAGTGGAAACGGAAGTCCTTCTAACAGTTACGGAGCTCCTGTAGGTGGGAACGGATTCGGTGGAGGACAGCCAAGTTCTTCCTACGGTGCACCTGGAGGTTATGGAAATGGAGGACAGGATGAAAATAATGTAAGCTTGGAGTTTTAAGAGAAGAAGAATAATCGAATGTACACAATCATTGATTTACCTTAATATATTGGTATATATTGGTTATATATAGATTATATTTGATTTTAGGAACCCGCCAAGTACGAGTTCTCTTATGAAGTAAAAGACGATCAATCTGGAGCTGATTTTGGTCATAAAGAAAGCAGAGATGGCGATCGTGCCCAAGGGGAATTCAACGTTTTGCTTCCTGATGGTAGAAAACAAATAGTTGAATACGAAGCGGATCAAGAAGGCTTTAAGCCGCAAATTAGGTACGAAGGAGAAGCAAACGCCGGAGGATATTCAAGCGGTGGTCCTGGCGGCAACGACGGATATCCTTCTGGTGGACCTGGTGGTAATGGTGGTAACAGCGGCTACTCTTCCGGCGGACCTGGCGATAATGGAGGAATAGGTGGAAATGGTAAGATTTTCTATATATATCTACATTCAGGAGTTAATTATTTATCTTTTTAAAATCAATCGCGCGCTGTTGTGTGTGGATTATAATGGACGACATTTTATTATTATATAGGAAGCTTTGGACGATTCAACGGCGGTGGAAACGGCGGCGGAAACGGCGGTGGAAACGGCGGTGGAAACGGCGGTAATGGTGGTTATTCATTAAATGGATTTGGTGGTGGTGGCGGTGGTAATGGTGGATATCCTTCTGGCAGCGGCGGTGATGCTGCTGCTAATGGTGGATATCAATATTAAACGAATAGTTCAATAATCTCGTATTATACTTATAGGGAAAATAATACAAGTTTTAAGCAAAATGCGCGTTTAGTACGTAAAGTTTGTTTAAATTTGATAAGTTATAAGTAGGACCAATAATGTACGAAATGACGTACTCTAAGAGACGAATAAGAGAAAGGAAAGAGGAAGTGAATGGAATAGAGCGTGTCGGAAAGATGAGTACATTTTGCCCACGCGTGATCTAAATTCGAACAATAATTCGAGATAATCGAACGTACGCGGCATTGAGTAACGAGCTGCCATTATGTAATCTAATTGAAAGGAACCTTCTTTCATTTATCAGGACAGATAATCTGCAGGCTCCTTATTGATGTCGTATCGATTCGTACGTTCTAGATTAAAAAAGCAACCTTTTACGTAATGAACGCAGTACATATACATACATTTAACCTCGGGATTAATTATTAGAGAAAAAAAGTCGAGATTTCATTTTCAAATATAATATATAAAATAATATATGCGATTTATATCTCGGCTTTTAAAGATATTAAGGACACGCTTTAGTTTATAAAACTTATATGATAAATTATTTCAATTTTTTATATACATAAGTGTATGTGCGTATATACGCATAAACATATATGTATAGATATACACACACATATATGAGGGAATAATAGTAAACACGCTTCTTCATCTTTTATCAATTATCTTTCAGGTAAGGTTAAGATGTCTCCTTTTACGGAGTATGAAGTATCACGAACATTGTTTAAGCTATCTCAACGCGATACTTTATATTTACTAATATATTTAATTTTTACGTACTTATATAATAATTACTTGTTCACAGAATTTTGATATATTTAAATGTGTAGTTATAGGAAGGAGAATATCCGCATAAATATACTCTGTGCGCCAAGTCAAACGTGTGTTCTACTCTTCACTCATATATACCTGTTGTGTATTAAATAAATATAATACTCAAATGCTATATTAAATAGAAATGATGTATTACTATTACTATATACATACGTATATGTATTTGTTCTACAAATTATATAAATAAAATGTGATATAGAAAATGCAAAAAGTCAAAGATTATAATGAATCGATCCTAAATTAATTAAACTTGATATACTTGTGTTTCAAATAATACATAGAAGAATAAAAATAAATACACGTCTGCCGCGCGCGTGTTAAGACATTATAAATATTTAAAAGTACCATTATCTTTTCCGATTTTACGGCTATTAAAAAAAAACCTTCTAATAACTTGAAATCTTATGAAAAACTAAGTATGTTGGTTAGTGTGTGATTTAAAACGATTATAACAAACTAAGTATCATAAATGTACTATCGATAAACAAATCTGTTAGCCATGTTCTTAGTAATTTCATTCAACAGCTATTTATATATCCGAATACCGAATATAGATCAGGTGATCTCTGGGTTTATATATATATATAATCCCGCACGTATAAAATTCATATTATTAATTTGCATACAATGCAATAATAATCGTATTCTACATAACCGTATTCTACGTAATCGTGAGAATGTTTGTTTAGTATAACATGACCTATTGAATTAACCTTTCAACTTGCAATGACGCATTAGTAATGTCATGAAAATATGAATAACGTCGTCGTAATTATTTATCGAACATCTTGCAAAGTTAATTGTATCGCGCGCGTGTATATATGTTACCGTCAAAGCGGGAAATCAGGCAATACTAGTAAATCCTCGTCATACCATGAATATGAAGAGCCTTCAGACGAAGTCAGAAATTGAAAAATTCTATTGAACATAATACTTTGATATTCTATAGAAATCAAATTACTATTTAAACAACGTTGAAAAGAATACATCCTCGAGCACAGGCCCGACTCCCCCTCCCCCAAACACACCGCTAATCGCTCCCATACAAAAGCACAAAAGCGAGCATGGTGGGGGTTGTTGAGACTGTGCGTATCGCTATAACGGAAATCTGTATCTTTTGTTTCCTATCGTATCGGAAGATAAACAGGATTATAACCAAATGTTTTATATCTGCATTCTATTGAAAATCATTCGAAGAGCACATAGTAAAAAACAAATATTTTTTTTAACTAATTAAACACCTTGACTGCTCCGTGAATTCTTGTGTGCGGGCTTATAAGACTGTGCACACTTGTACGAATGAAGTCGATGCCACAAGTGGACAATAGATAAGCCTGCATGTCTACAAACATAGCTCGAAAGGATCGAAGTCATACACAGCATGTCGCGGAAATTACTTATGGGACAACCTAATATGTAGAGAATCCCCAACCCCTTCTGAAATTATGATATAAGTGAAACTTCTTTTCGAATATAGTCAAATAATTGTATCGTAGTAATATTAACAATAGCCGTTGCCGCGAAACCCATAATAACTATTTTCAAAACATTCAAATGATCAAATAACAGCGTAACATGAATTATTGAAGAAATGAAATGCTCTGTGTGAAACGATTCATTGCAATGTGTCTATGCTCCATTATTTAATAAGACTTTTTACCTAAGAGTAAATAAAGCCATCGCTTCACTATTCTTTAATTCGCTATGACTTTTTCATTTTTTTCTTCCGTATTTTATGCCACGTCATGGGCATAGCAGGAACGCCTTTCTACCTTCGACCTGTGATGATAATGTTAACGCAGCAGAATGCGTTGAAAAATAGGTGCGAGGGAAGACGCAATACGATTCATTGTTGGTAGGGGGTTATATATATATTTTTTATGTATTAATTCGTAATATTTTGAACGAATATTCTCACGATTACAATGTAGTTTCCTGTACTTTCTCTAATGTATGCAAATTAATAATACGAGAAAACAAGAGCGAGGAATTGGTCGATTGCGATGGCAACGTCGAACGTGTTGGTGACAAAATGGAAAACCTCTTCGTCAGGGAGAAAAAGATTTTCTGCACTCTTCTGCCAGCCGTCTGATAGCTCGGACTAGTCGAAATTCTTTACAAACTTTAACTTCTTAACTCTTGTACATTTTTTTTTTCATTGTTAAAAGCGATATCGTCAGTGTTTGATATTAGATTCTCTAACAGCATATCCGATTTGATATAATAATCTTAATTTGACTTTTTCATTTGTTTCTTGTATTATATTATATTATATTGTTATATTATATTATATTGTTTCATTGCGTTATTATCTTTATTACTATTATCAATTATATGTATTCCAATTTATTACTCTTTATTATATCATTTATTTCTATATTATTTTATATTATTATATCTCTTATATTATTTACTTTTGAGTTACTTTTGACTGATTACTACAGGCTCAACCGAGAGTATAAGTGTATTTTATTTTATTATATAAAATCAGTTAATTGTAAAATCAGTGATCAGTGTTTTCTGCAACAGTCACGTAAGTTACCTCCTCCTTCAGTCTTTGTTAATTCTTTTCTATTGAAATTTCGCAATAGTTTGGGCCACCCAACCGCCTGAGTTTGTCTCTTTCTCCTTCTGCTAATCGGGACTGCACAGATTGAATAATATACTTATTAGGGAAAACCCTCCCTAACTGGCTCCCAACATTTATTTTGTCTTTTAATTAATAAATTTGATATTGTCTAAACTTAGAGAGCCTTGGCAGTCACTTGAACCAGGCCTCGCCAGGTGAAGGATTAACTTCTTTAGTCTTGACAAAAAATAATTCTTGTTTCAACCTCAATATATTCAGAAACCACCTAACCCATATTCGGTATTCGATATATATAAACAGCTATTGAATTAACTTACTAAGAATAAGGCTAACAGATTTGTTTATCGATAGTACATTTATGATACTTAGTTTGTTATAATCGTTTTCAATCACTAACCAACATACTTAATTATTATTATTTATTGAAATCGCTTACAGTGTTTGCATGTAATATTTTTGTGTTATTATAATAGAATCTTAAAAATGGCGTCATTAAGCGGCCGAATGTATCAAGAGGAACTGTTTTCTATGGTAGAAGAGCCGAATTATTATAATCAACGAGGTGAAATTGCTACATTCTATTCTGGAAAAAAAATTCTCATAACAGGAGGTTCAGGATTTTTAGGAAGGCTTATAATGGAAAAACTTTTGAGGTAAAAATATTTCATATACGTCTTCGTTCTCGATTAAACTTATACATTCTTAATAAGATTTTAATCATAAATTTTTAATAAATTTGAATACTATGTACAACAAGGGGGGTGGTCTTTAAAATAAGAAGAATATTCCTTGAGTTTAAAATCTCCATCAATTAATTTTAACATTTATCGCACAGCAATGTAAGCTTTCTATCTAAATAGCATGGAGTTTTTGTAATGTGTGAATGCTCAATTATTTGTTAAATAATTGTAAAGAAAAATTGGAAATTCTGTAGACTCTATCTTTATAATAGTAACTATCCGAAATTAAAACAAAAAAGAGAAAAGGAATAAAATAGAATACCTATACACATTCATTGAAAGATATAATTTGAACGTAATAGAAATTGAAATGCCTATAGCAGGGATGGCGAACCTTTTCGGATGGGTGGGTCAAATTCGGTTTAACGTTCGGTTTAACAATTTCGGCTTGCAGCGTTATATTCGTGGGTCAGTAATTGAGCGGAGGAGCAATGAGAAAAATCTTATTCCTTATTTTAAAAATATTAAACCTTATCAAAATCGGCGCGTAATTCCATTCAGATGTCTTTGTGGATGAATGTTTGACGCGCGGGTCATAGGTTAGCCATTGACGTCAAACCATCTTTGGTTAATAGTCTCACGAATCACTAATAAATATCGTCGCTTCGTATACTATTTTGCCTGACAGCACTTATTTACTAAAACTATTCATATGTTAGAATATATTTTCCCCCAAAAAATTCTTTCTATAAATGCATTGCTATTTGTAGATGTTGTCCAGAAATAAAATCGATTTATTTGCTGATAAGAGCAAAAAAACAGCGGGATCCGCAGACTCGATTCAAAGAGTATTTTAATGATGTCGTAAGTAAAGTTACGTAATTTGTACTAATTATTATGTCAATAAATAATATCACCAATAATACCGGGTATATTTAAATTTTCAGATTTTTGATAGATTGAAGAGAGAGCAAAAAGATGTCGAAAAGAAGATTATTCTGATAGAAGGAGACACGAGTCAATTGAATTTAGGATTGTCAGAGAAAGACCGCGAACGCATTAAAGATACAGATTTGATTTTCCACAGTGCAGCATCCGTCCGTTTTTTGGATAATATTCGTTTTATAGTTAATACGAATATTAGAGGAACAAGGGATCTCCTTTTGCTTGCACGGGAGATGACAAGCTTGAAGGTACTGTTTTCCTAATTAATTATTTAAACATTGGATTTACTTAAAAAATAAACAGTTCTTATATTTTATAATAAAAGTTTTCTTCAGGCCTTTGTCTATATATCAACGGCATATTCGCACTGCGTATATAGTAAAATTGAAGAAAAATTTTATAAGCCACCTATAGAGACAGAAGACATAATTAAATTGACAGAAATTTTGAGCGAAGATCAATTAGATCTCATTACCCCAAAGTAATAAAACAAGAATATTATTGCTTTTTTTTTTTTCTTAGAGCTAAGTCGATTAGCCAATTTTTGTATTTTACAGGCTACTTGGTAATTGGCCAAACACTTACGCATATTCAAAGGCAATCTGTGAAGATACTGTACGGCAATATTCTAATGGAATTCCTACTTGCATCGTTCGGCCATCCATTGTTATCCCAACGGAGAAGGAACCAATTGCCGGTTGGATAAACAATCTTTATGGAATAACAGGTGTTACTTATGGTAGTGCGACTGGTGTTTTACACACGCTATATTGCAATGAAAACTATATTTGCGACATCATTCCTGCCGACTATGTTGTCAACAACATCGTTGCTGCCGCATGGGACGTTGCACAAAAACGGTCAATTTTTTCTTATTTTTTGACAAATCTCTAAAATGTACTTTTAGTTTAACTTTTAAAATAACACATTTACAGTGAATAAAAAAGAACTTTTATCATAGGTCCATACCACAGATTATTAATCTCTCAAACAGAAACAACAAATATTTGCCCGTTAACGAAGAGATTCCAATTTATAATGTTGTTTCCTCAGTTCAAAAACCAATTACCTGGGGTATTATGGAATCTTATTTAAAAATTAAAGGGCTTAATATTCCATCGAAAAAAGTATTATGGTACTACTCCTTATGGTTTAACCATAACTATTCTTTCCATGTTTTGTTGACAATTTTTTTGCACTGGATACCAGCAATTATACTGGACTCGTTAGCTTATCTCAAGGGAAGAAAGCCAAGGTAATATCTGACGATATTATTGGATTTTTACAAGCGATTTATTATTCGTCGATAAAAAGGAACATTATTAAATTTATCGTAAATTTTTTCAGATTGCTCAAAATCTACGCAAATATAGAAAAGTTTAAAAATGTAATTAATTTTTTTACACTTAACGAATGGGAATTCACAAACGATAACGTTTTGAAATTATGGGACAAGCTATCTGTAGTCGATAAACATAACTTCTTTTTTAATGTTTCTGATATCGATTGGGATTGTTTTTCTGATACTTACATAAAAGGAATACGAGTCTATTTATTGAAAGACCCGATGGAGACGGTTGAAGAATCAAGACCATTTTATAGAAGGTAACTTTTTGACAATCTCTATTTTATAACAAATATTATTTTTTCCCTATTTAAAATTTAATCATTCTTCTTATTGTTTCTAGGTTAAGAATAGCTCATTATACGATGAAATGGTCGATTTGTGCCTTGATTCTTTGGATCTTTTATTCGTTATTATATTCACTTTTTTCGTCTGTATTTTCTTTCTAACAATCTGTGAAAAACAACACAATAAAGAGATCCTTTTATAATTCATTTTGTTTAGATTGAAGAAGGTAATTTTTTGTTCATAAGTACACATACCCGTGTTTCTGTTGTTGTTATAACAAGAGCAAAAACCTTTACTATGTATCTAAATTTTACAATATTACGATATTGATTTATGTACTGCTATTTCATTAATGTGTCTATATATTGCATAAGATATTAATTATATATTATATATCATACATTATAGCATATTATATTTACTTACATTTAATATTATATATATATTCCTTATATTGAAATATTGACCATCCTTTTTTCATTTAATATTGACATAACAGAAACTTGTTTCGAAAAAATAGGTTTCCAGATTTGAAAATAAATAAGTTCTAACGTGAAGATTTTGTTGAAACTAAGCAGATAGTTTAAGGATAATATATCATAAGATTTGATAACAATTGGCATAGACCAAAAATTTGTTAGGCATACACATTTGAAATTCTTTTTATTCGACTTATAAATACAATCAACGATTACTTTTTACGTAAATACTTTTACTTGGATTTAAATTATTTAAGATGATAGATAATTGTTTTGTTTTTTTTTGCATATTCTTAAGGTTTTACAATTAAAGAATTCCTTTAATTTTGCGCATTATCGTCTCTATTTAATTCAACCAATGGAATGTCGCGTGGACGCTGGCGAAAACACAAAATAAAAATAATGTTTTATAAAAGTCAATATATTACGTTTAAAAAGTAGAAATTAATGAGTTTAATAATAACTCAACAACGCGTTTTTCGAAACAAACACTGACTCTAAGATTGCATTGCACGCAATYGCAACTGAAGCTCTGAAAATCAAAGTTTTGTTAAAGCAAGTCGTAGCGTACTTCTGTTTATTTATTATGTTACTAATAAGAAAGATATTAATTGTTTTATAATTCACAATTTTTTAAACTACGTATTCCAAAAATTCTGGAA